CGTCCGTCCGTCCGTCCGTCTATCAGATTGAATCAAAAGAAAAAAGGATTCTGAAGGTGGATTAGATCACAAAATCCAAGCTTGATTTTGATTTACATCAAATCATCAGTTTGTTTAGTTTAAAACATTTTAGTAAAACTTTTTAGAGAATGCAAAAGCAATTACATATTTTTTCCCCATTACCATGTCCCTTTAGGGTTTCTGTAGAGCAATACTAATCCATATTTGGTAATCTGAAAAACTTTGTTTCTGGATTATTTTGATCCAAAATTTCCAAATCCAGATTAAGCTTTCTGCAAAACTGGCCTCAAGAGACCAACAAAACTTGTTGCATGTTGCTTAATGTTACTAATTAGAACATGAGGCTCACAAAGACCCTGTATACATGAAAATTATTATGTGATAAATATTTAAATGGTTAAATTATAACATTATACGCAGTATCTAGACCCAATGTCTGATAAATAGTGAAACTGATAAACGTGAGCGATATACCACGTGTGTGTGAGAAGCCGCTGCACGTGAACAGTCCACAGTCGTTTATTGTGCTCACATTGCTCCTGGCAAAGCATTGGCACGCTTTATACAGCTCAGACCCATCGCAGTAGTTCAGGCACCATCACTGCACAGCAGACGCTCCATCGACACACCAGCAGGTCTATAGATCCACCACACGCTGGCCTGACAAACACAACTCCCATAGTGAACAGAGCCCGCCTGGGTTTGCTTGATAGACTCATAGATGGACAGATAGAGCACACTGTAACGAAGAGATGTGAATGGTCAGATCCCAGTGGAGGAGAGGGATGGTGCTGTGGGCGTCTGCGAGGCCCTGCCCTCTTCACGGGCATGTGGTTTTGTATACAGCTCTTGCTTCTGCAGCTCCAAGTCATGGCTGTTTCGCAGTGATGTTTTGCAGTATGGTGTTATAGTTGGTGTCATGTTTTGGGATTGATGGCGCTGAGGTGCAGGACAGAGGAATTCTGGGTAGTGCTGAGAATTATAGTGTCGGCTCGCTTGCACTGCTACTGCCCAGAGCCAGAGAGACGCGTAGCGCAACAGCGGGATCCTGTGGTGAGTTCTGAGCATGTAAGATCTATTCACTCTTGTTTGTGAGTTTTTGACTTGTTTTCCATTTGATCATGATATTCTGACTCGGTTGTTCCTGAGGCGTTTGTTAATGGCCTTGAGTTTGACAGCAATACATTACTTTGGGTTTCCAGTCTGCCTCTGAGTTTTCTTCAACTTTGCTGTTGTTGTCATGGTTGAAATGTTTTTTTCGTTCGTTTTTTGCTCAACTCATAACTCAAGAAGAGTTTTTGTCTTATCAGTTTTCTTGGTATTTAAAACAATAGTTCACATTAAAAATGAAAATTCCGTCATTATTTACTCACCCTCAAACCTCAAAGTTTATGACGTAGACTGAAATGTAAGTCATCATTCAGTGAAATCCAGACATCCGTCCCAGCTCTTCTCAACACATTAATGAAAGTAGAAGACCAGTGAACAGTGACTTTTGGTTTGTTCCTAGCACAGCTAGCATATGGATTCAATATAAGAAGACAATATAAGAATAATTTATTCATTTTTAGAATCATTTATTCAAGTGTTTCGAAAGACTCCTGTTGTCTTGTTCCTGCAGTTCTGCTCGTTTGCATCGTGTTTTGACTGAATGTGCAGTTTGTTGCTTCACAGCAGGTTCTCTGTTAGAGGACTGTGTGATCCTGAGCACAGCTGTAATGTAGATGTGCAGATGTTTTAGCAGCTCACAGTTATGATAACAGCAGTTCACACTCAAACAGAGTCTGTCTCCCTCCACTTCACAGATTCAGCTAACATGACAATCACTGAAGAATGTTAGTGTGTGCACTTTAATGAAGACTAAAATTGTGATATCCATAGTGATGTAAACCTAATCAATGTTGTGTTTTTGGTTTTGGCAGTTTCGCTACAAGAGGCGAGTGTATACACAGACACACCTGGATGAGAAACAGCTGTCGAAGCTTCACACTAAGGTAAGACAGGAGTGTTAGCCTCTTGCTGTACCCACAATGCATCTGGCTGATCTGTTTTTACTACAGACACTTTTTTTTTAAAAGTTCAGTGGCTACTAAAGTTCCTCGATGTTATGATTCAGGTTTACATTAAGGTGGTGAAACATGGCACCTGTTACTTTTCTCAGCGCTGAACCCAACGCTGAACCCAATCAGAGATTACATGATGGGGGATATTTTATAGAGAATTCTAATTTATTCTTCAGGGAGAAATCATTATAATTAATAGATTGAAAATAATTTTGTTTTTTGTTGTACCTGTGTCTCAAATTAGACTTCATCAATGTCAATATTCAGGTTTAAATTAAGATGATGTCACATGGTATCTGTTACTTTTCTCAGCGATGGACCAATCAGGGATTACGTGATAGAGATTCTACATGATGGGAGATTACTGGCAAATTTGAATTTGTTCTTGATGATGGGGATTTTTATATCATTTCATAGTGATTTCTGTGGCAAATTTCTTCAGGAAGAAACCATTCTAATTAATTCAATAAATGCTTTTTAGTTGTGCCAGTATCTCAGATTAGACATCCTGATGCCATTATTTAAAGTTTAAATTAAGTTGATATCACATGGTACCTGTTACTTTTCTCAGAGCTGGACCAATCAGTGATTACATGATGATACATGATTTTTACATAATTTGTCATTCTAATTTAAAAAAAAAAAAATGCTTTTTAGTTGTACCTGTGTCTCAAATTATTTAGGTTTAAATTAAAGGGTTAGTTCACCCAAAAATTAGAGTTCTGTCATTAATTACTCACCCTCATGTCGTTCCAAACCCGTAAGACCTTCGTTCATCTTCAGAACACAAATTAAGATATTTTTGATGAAATCCGAGAGCTTTCTGACCCTTCATAGACAGCAACACAACTGACACATTCAAGGCCCAGAAACGTAGTAAGGACGTCATTAAAATAGTCCATGTGACATCAGCGGTTCAACCCTAATTTTATGAAGCTACAAGAATACTTTTTTGGGCAAAGAAAACAAAAATAACTTCTCTTCCGTGTTCTCGGATTTCATCAAAAATATCTTAATTTGTGTTCAGAAGATGAACGAAGGTCTTACGGGTTTGAAATGACATGAGGGTGAGTAATTAATGACATAATTTTCATTTTCACTGTAAGGTGATGTCATACTTGTTACTTTTCTCAGCGCTGGATCAATCAGTGATTACTTGATGGGGATTTTAATATCATTTTATTGAGTTGCTGTGGCAAATTATTATTTTTTTTCCTTCAGAAAGAAATCATTGTAATTAATAGATTTAATTTTTAATTATAACAGTGTCTCAATTTAGACATCCTGGGATGAAAATGACAACCCTATGTAGTATTCAGTTTTCTAAGCCATCTAGCGCCCTGCAGAGGAAGTTTGTACCTTGTAGAAAACGGTTATTAGCTATAGTCACATCTGCGGCCTAATGGTTCCTGGAATGCTAAAGATGTTGAGGTGTCATTGAGCTGTTTAGGTAGATGATGATGATGACGATGGTAATCATCAGAAGCATGAAGCTCTGGAAGCGTTTACATGACCGTAACCTCCTCTGCTCTTCACAGATCAACAACACTTCTCATAAGCACACACCGTGATACGCTGCAATTACCAGCCAGTCCAATCAACTCCCCTCTCATCATGTTAATGCTGCTGTTTTTGGCCCGTCTGGCCTCCACGAACGAGATCTCCTCTCATCTCTCCTGGAGAGTCAGAGTTATGGCCTAAATCAAAATGAGCCATTAGCGCAATAAATGGAAATCAATGTTGGCTTCGTACCAATTTCGGCATCATCATGTCAGTTTGAATCCTCTATTCCATTCAATTAGACGAGAGCCTTTCTTTAGGCGATAATACCACACGTCTGACAGCGTCACCCTGTGTGACCGTATTACTGCGGTGAATGAAATGAAAAAAGTCTTAATCAATGAATAATCCACACTAGTGCTTATTAAGCAAGTTGTTAGTTCCCCCTAAAATTTTAATTCTGTCAGCATTGGTTCACAGTTATGTCATTCTAATGATTGTTTTTTATTATTCACTGGAATACAAGTGGTCATTTTTAGCAGAATATTCACGGTGATCTTTTGTATATAATGAAAGTAGATCTTGATACTGTAAGACCTATAAACACTGAGGGCACAAATATTAAGATTAGAGCTTGAACAATATGGGTTTTCCAATTCTTTTATAATTTTGTCTTGAATATTAATTAGCATTTTTTGCTCTCAAGCTCCAACAATTACAAATAAGTATCATGAAAGTACCATGTTAAAATGTTCTGTAGTCTTCTGAAGCCGTATAATAGCTTTGTATGAGGAACAGACCAGAATTTAAGTTGTTATTTACTGATAATGCTTGAAACTTTTCTTTAAAGCTTGGTTTGGATACAGTTTTAGCAAATTGATTCATTTGGATGGTTCATTGTAAGGAACCTGTTCAAATTCTTCTGTCATGATGTAAACAAAATCATTTTAATAGCAAAATTGTGTGTGTTTTTTTTATTTACACACATTGTCCTGTTGAAAAGTTTGTTAAAAGTTTGTTTCTCCTTTTGGGGTTTCTGATTGTTGTTTTGTAGAATTATTCTTCAGTTGTCCTTTGAAAAATGGATGCTAGCTGTGAGATTTTTATATGGTTATAAAAATTATTCTTATATAGAAATCCCCCCCCCAAAAAAAGAAAAGAAAAGAGAAAGAAACTGTTCCAGTTTTACGTCTATGTACCTCTATGATTACCTTTTTTTATGTATTTGTATTGCATATATATATATGTATATATAATAAATTACATAAATTAAATATATATTATATATTTGTTTAATTAAATTATTTATTTATTTATTTTTTGACTTGGTATAGCCATGGCAGCCATCTTGTACTGGTTTAGCAGTACGAATGCAGTACATAGAGGTAATTACTAAAAAAGTATATGAATAAATGCAATGGTCAAGCAAACAACTTCACAATTTTGGACCCCTTGGGATGGACTGAATCATATATTGCACCTTAATATAAGAAAAGTTACAGATAGTTTGTGATAAAGTTTGACTGAATCACTAAAAAGAGTCTTTTTGAAAGAGTCACACTTTCTGAAGTATCAGACATCACTATTTGTTTTTGGTTTGTAATTGTTTAGTGTGGCACACTGATATTTGAGGATTTGAGGATTGTGTGTGAGAATTTGGAGCGGGCATATTCCTTGGCACTCTTTAAGTGGCGCCTACACTGATTTCTCTTCCAATTTGTCAATGCCATCGTGGTTCACTGTTGCATTTCTGTCATTATGGTTTTGTTGTTGTGAAATTGTGGGGTTTTTTGACGGGCCATGCCATTAAACTGCTGGACTGCGCCATCTCCTGCTCGCACGGGGTGCCGGTGAGGGCAGTAATCCGCTTATATATTGACATTGTTTCATTTGTTGTACTGACCTCTCCTGCTGGGTGCACACGCTGATAATTAAACATCTACAAATGCACGTGCCTGCACATGCTCGCAATCCCACGCACATATGAACTGTCAATTTGTGGCACAGCCGTGTGTGCAGGGGTGTGTGTTCAGGTCAAGCATTAGCCTAGTTTTCAGTCATTCACTCTGTTTTTACTGAGCCAAGATAAAACCTAATGCACTGTATGTGTGTGTTTAGTGAAGCCTGGAGGTCAGAGATTGTCATATGACTGACGGTAGAAAGACGTCTGTCTTTAGCAGAGACAAGAACTGAAGCAGCTGATGTTAATGTGGAAATGAAAAGTTATCATTGCATTACTGAGCTCATAAAGATGTGTACAGCTCGACCCCGGCCAACCCCATCACAGTCTCACCTGAGCTGCATTACAGAGCTGGCAGGACATACTGCAGGCCCAGCTGTGTGTTAGCAAGTTCTGCTCTCCAGAGCACGAGACGAGGTGGAGGAGAGGAAGAGAACTAGAGCGTGTAGACAACAGCCTCCTGATGCACACTGTCTCTTGGCACTATATGTTTTGATTCACTAAAGAATCAGTTCATAAGAGTCAGTTGTTTGTGAATTGGACAACACTGGTGACACTATGTAGTTTGCTGTTGTGTGCAGCCTGTGAGAACAATAGAAAGATGTGATTTTTTTTTTTTTGGCATAATTTTTTTATTACACACCCTTCTTATCTGTATTTCATTCATTCATATTTATTAAACTCATTCATACGTTCCATAGCTCACTCATCCGCTAACTAATTTTTCACTGTCTGTATAAACTGAAGGGTGTTGTACTGGTGAGTGTGTTGAATGTTAAAATCTGATATCTGAACTGCTTCTTTCTGTCTCACTGACATTCACCCCATTCCTCTCAGACTGTGTGTGTGTGTGTGTGTGTGTGTGAGTGAGATACTGAAGTCTCTGGATCCACCCTGAGCTAGTACAGGTTTGGAGAAACGTGTTCTGGCTGCTAACTCGTGTCAGTGTACAGGGCCAGTGTATATCTGTCTTGCACGTACATTCTTTCTTTTCTTGTTAAAAGTAAATGTGGCATGTTTACCTTGTGCTCTCTGCCTCACCTTTATCTGATTCAACCTCTCAATGTCTCTCTACACATTAATCCCTCATTCCTGATCTACAGTCATCTTCCCTTTGACTTCCACCTTACTCTTCTCCTGCCACACCTGAGGAAGCTCATTACTGACAGTCAACCTCCAGTGCAGAACACTCGTCTGACTCATCCCTCCATCAGACAGACAGAGAGAGAGAGAGACAGATTAAATGATCTGAAAGATGCAGCGAATGAGAGAATCTCTTATATATACTGTGTTTGTCCTCTTAGCCCAAAAGAGGCCCGGTTTCATTTGATTGTGTGTGTTGTGACGTTTCGTGTCGTTTTCTGAACCAGTGGTTCTCAACTGGTGGATCGTGACCCAAAATTGGGTCTGCAAACTGCACAGAAAAACGAAATGCTAAATGGAAATAATTAAGTGCTGTATTAAACCAACC